TTTGACTCAAGTTTAAATCTAAAATTAATTGGCTGGCTTGCTTGAAGGGGGGTGGGGGAGGATTTTTTCTTTAAGATTGAGTTATCTTTCTTGCCTTTACCTCTAGAACCAGCACAGTGTGAAACAGCTAAACTTTTTGTTCTATTAATAAAAAAACCTGAGGAAATACGGTATCTACCACACTTCAAGTTAGACAAAGATCTTGCCTAGAAAGTAACGGCAATAAAAATACACTTTTGACTATTACACTTAGTCAAGTAACATTGTTCTCATTTCACAGCAGATTTGTTAACACTGAGCACCTGGTAAAGGTATCAGGTAATTTACCTGTATCTTTCTGAAACAGTTTCAAAGGCTTAGGTAAGCAATCAGACTTCGAAGCTCAGAACAAGTTATACAGCCCCCAGACAACTTCTGTCACCATAGAAGACAGAAATTCACAGAAATTTTAGCTTAAAATGAGAATTTAACCATCAGCCACACTAATAATCCCTGAGAAGGAGATTAATTTTTGTAACAGGTGAGTCCATACATGTGATACAGCAGTAGTAAGTTCTTGAGTTTGAATGCTCAGTGCTAAACCAATTTCTTTAAACATGAGATAGAGCCAAATAAGAATTCTGCTTGTTAAGTATGTGAAAACTTCACCTTGGATGAATCATTGCATACTGCAGACCTGTTCTGCCTGAAGTTATTCTCTATTCTAATTCCAAAACAAAATGTGAAGCAATCTGTCTGAGATCAAACTACTCCCTAGCATTTTAAATATAGCATTCATAGCAATGATATCCTCAGCACCACCCCCCAACAAATATGCATGTACATGACTACTTCTAAAGCATATCAGGTCCCACATCATCTCAAATACGAAGTTCATGCTTCAGTCTGAAATCTTTCAAGCTAGTCTAATGGCAGAAATTAGAACTCCACACCAAAAATGCACATTGACAAATCAGAAACTATCTCATCGCTTTAAAGGACAGGACTAGATGACCTCCTGAAGTCCCTCTCAACCTAAATTATTCTAATAAAGATGCTTGTTCTTTTAGCAGCCATATTGGATGCATTTACCCTAGCATTTTCGCTTGCAAAAGTAATGCACTTTCAAAGTAAATCCCCCAGTTGCTCCTGCTTAGTACAAATTAGTTGAGGTAGCTGTGCAGCTCTGGTGCATGCAAATTTGACTTCATTTACATAAAACCAAACTTGAAATTTCACTTCAGGGACACACCTGATGCACCCCACCCCACAGTACGGACACTAGAGTACAAGGCAAACGCTGTACCACTGCAATGCCCCCTGGCACCTATCTTAGCACAAATGAACCTGAGCTGCAAAGACATACTGCAACATCCTGAAATGCTACTTTAAAGAAATAATGGTGTCAGTGCCTTCAGGTTGGCTATGAACGAACCCCCAGCCCTCAAATTTTTACAACTCTGCTACTCATTCAGCATCTACCCAACTTTTCTTCTCTTTTTGTATAATTCACAGAATCACAGAATGGTAATAGCTGGGGTATCTCTGGAGACCATCTAGTCCAACCCCCTGCTAAAGCAGGTTCACCAAGCGGGTTTTGAATGTCTCCAGAGAAGGAGACTCCACAACCTCTCTGGGCAGCCTGTTCCAGTGCTCTGTCACCCTCAGAGTAAAAAAGTTTTTCCTCATGTTCAAGTGGAACTTCCTGTGCTCCAGTTTGTGCTGACTGCCCCTTGTCCTGTCACTGGGCACCACTGAAAAGAGCCTGGCCCCATCCTCTTGACACCCGCCATTTAGGTATTTGTAAGTGTCAATAAGACCCCCTCTCAGTCTTCTCTTCTTGAGGCTAAAGAGCCCCAGGTCTCTCAGCCTTTCCTCATCAGAGAGATGCTCCAGTCCCCTCATCATCTTCGTATTCCTCTGCTGAACTCTCTCCAGCAGTTCCCTCTTGGAGGGGGCCCAGAGCTGGACACAGTACTCCAGATGTGGCCTCACCAGGGCAGAT